GCTGAAGTCACAAGGACTCCACACAAGCACAGCACCACGTGTAAAGAGAGGTCTGTAATGTACCCTAATAAACTGTGGTCATAATTAGCGCCCAATGGGAAAACCTGGCAAAGAACAGAATGTTTTTTCTTCCCTTTTTCTATTTTACTCTTCTACTCCTGTTCTACTCTGATGTGACCTAATTGAGACATTGCATTTCATGGAAACATCCCTTTTTGAAGATTATATTTCAGTGCTAAATCATAGGCAGGAACTGTGCTGGGTGCTAAAGGGCAGACAATATTCAGGAACAACACTGCCCAACCAAAATCACTTTTGCTTCTATTTATCGTTTAAAAAATCCCACAACAGTTAAGGATGTTTCAATGTTTACGTTTTCCCGTACTCACAAGCCATATGCTAATGCATAATGCGTCAACTGCACAGCTTCCTGATTGTTGAAAGTCTACACAATTGGTAATATTAAACTAGAATTTGTAGAAAACAACAGGGAAGACACAGGAAATAGGTAGAAAGAGAAAATAAAGCAACTCTGGAGAGCTTCAGAGAGGTGAGACATTTGTTTTAATTACATAGGCTCCATCTGCTCATACTGGGGAGGAAAAAGGGTCACTCTGTAATCACTTTGAAATTTTGTGGAAATTGTGAGAAAAGCCTGAGAAGCTTTCTTTCATCTCATAGTTTTTAATGTCAGTAGACATCACTTCAGCTGTTTAGATTCAGAAATTTTAGTCGTAAGATTAGCAGATGCAGGAGTTAGAGATTTTGCTTTCATTTTCCAAAGTACTGGCTGGTGATTTGCTGTTCTCTCAGTCCTCCCTATGGTACTGTCAAAGTCTCTTACTTTCTTTACCTTCTACTGTTCTGTTCCTGCCCTACAGCACATTGCCTTGCCTCTCAGATGTGCCCTTTGGTGTTGTCAGTTCACACTGTCATTCACCTACACAAACACAAACTCCAGGAGTGCTCTACCTCAACCTTGGCTTCCTCCAGTAGGGAAGGAGGACTGTGCTACACCTTAATAACTGAGCAGTAGCCGCGCATTATCTTAGTATTTTAGAAGACAGAGCTGTGACAGCAGCACAGCGCCAATGTCCAGGAGACATAAATATAATAATCATTTTATTGTTACATAGTGCATCACGCTTAGTATACTGCAGGATTTTAACCAGCTGAAGTTTCATCACTTTGCAAATATGAAAAGCAATGTAAGTTTAAGATTCCCACCCTGACTTTACATGTGTATGTGTTCAGAGCCCTCTCTGCTTAGTGTTACTTTGTAGAATTACTACCTTCTAATCCTCGTTCTTCTTAGCCCTTCCCAGCCAGCATAACTGTGCAGCAGAGAGCAGGAGTCTGCCCTGGCTCAGCAACCGCTGACAGCCTCACAGCAACACGCCAAACTCAGGACCGGGCTCTCCCCTTATGGAATCCCATCTGAAAGAACAGAGATCACCAAATTAGGCAATTATGTGGTTACATTTTTTAGAATTGTCTTTGGGAAGATGTATTTCCCAGTATTTTATTTCTTACTCAGAAGTATCAATCCATCAGAATAGCATTCAGGATTCAAGCGTGCAAGTGTCCTGATGGCATTCTCAGCCTTTCATGGGACAAAAATGGTAACTTAGCAAAGTTAAGCAACTCGAACGTTAATTTCTAAATGTTTGCTTTTGTAAAACTCAAGAAGTGAATGGACATCCAAGATGTCACTATCTGGCATGTTTTGACATTAGTCACAGACTTCTGTGTAGTGATGAACAGAAATGGTCACTTGCTTGACATCTAGTTAATATGTTCAACAGAACATGTCAGCTTCTGATGCGTGTCAGTTGACATCTGTCACTTATGGGTACCTTTCTTACTGTAGTGACCAAAGAACTAATAAAATGCTGAGATGACAAGAGACTGAAAGCTGAGGAGTATTTAAACTGTGCACCATTCCCATCTGACACACAGGGACAAGTTAATCTTTCACAAAGGGAGGAAAAACTATGCCTCCTGAAGTGTGGGCAGACAATACGTTTCCTCTGGAGGCAAAGCCAGTGAGTTTCCTGTTCACAGCTTTGCAGTACAATTCACTGCCAGCACATGCTATTTTTAATCTGTATCGTTTCAGTGACCTAATTTGTATCCTGTCTCATGCACCCTTTCAAAACAGAGAGGATGGCAAAGTATGATACAGGGGTGGGAATAAGTGTGCAGGGAATGAGTCCTGGTTTTCAGAGTACTTCTAAAGGGAAAATAAAGAGAGAGAGATAGAGAACTCCAAGCTTCCAGGTTCTTTCTTAATTGGTAGAAAAGAGGCTGGGGAGCATAGAACATAATGTAACTTGTAAATATTTTAAATAATTAAAAATATGCCTCACTTTTCATAATAAAATTGCTCTTTCAGTCAAACTAAGAAAAGTAT